TCTTAGATAGACGTTTATTGAGAAGAATACCTTAATAGCAGCTGGAAGCTGAATTGCAAAGGTGTACAAATTATGTAATAGAACTATACAATAAAATCAAACCTAAAAGGGAACTAATTTACATATACAATTGTAATAAATGTTAGTTAAAATGTCTTGCGCTTGCCGGAATGAAAGTATCTCTGAACCGATTTGTTTTAAAGGAAACTCTAAATGGTCTGCGTTGTCGTAACTCCATAAGTTGACCTCGGTTATCGAAAGGCAGTAAGTGGTACAAACAATCCAAGGGATTGGAGACGATGTTGTTAAAGAATTTTAAGCAAAGGTCTTCTCTCCGATCCCTTAGGGTTTTCAGCTCTGCCATCTGAAGCACTTCTCTATAATGATTATCATAACCGCATATAATTTTCAAGGCTCTCTTTTCGACACGCTCTAAACTTAAGCTGAAATAATTGGGGAGACTATAATGGTAGACCTGACATCCATAAAGTAAGACAGATTGAATACAAGCAACATAAAAATTTACTAATTCTGGTGATGGTACCTTAGCTCGCTTTAGCTTAGTTAAAAAGTAAAGGCGCTTAGCGGCCTTTTTAATCGTCTCAGTAACGTGATTGTTCCACTTGAGGTTGTCTTGAAAATACACACCCAGTAATTTCAGGACACTAACGGCACTAACCTTAGAGCCATTAATTTCTATGAGATCGTATGAAGGAGGGGAGCGCACAAAGGAAACTCTTAGCTGATTACATTTTTTCGGATGGAGTTGAAACGAGTTGAGTGTTGACCATGTAGCTACTTCGTTTATCATAGACTGAGCATTGCTAGGACCACCCTTGCTTATGATTTCATACACTGTCGTATCATCTACATATTTTATACAATCACTGGCTGATGGTACTTTCAAATCGTTTATCATAATCAAGAATAGCCACGGTCCCAATTTTGTTCACTGCGGTACTCCTACTCGGACCGATCCCCACTCTGAGAGACAATCATGTGCAAGTTTGACCCTTTGTTTCCTATCTTTAAGAAAGGCTATTTTTTATCCAATTAATGATGTGAGGGTTGATGTTGTAGGTCGAGAGTTTCGATAGCAAGAGGCTCTGATCTATCAGATCGAAGGCTTTTCTATATAGTCCAACGCAAAGATCCGCACGGTGTTCCCCGTTCCGTCTGTTGCTTGCGCCCAATTGTGCATCAGATTTATCAATGCGTGCGCAGTGGACGATCCTGGAAAACACCCAAATCGATCGGGTTCCAGGCGTTTCAGAAGTGCTGGTTTCACATGTTCATGGACGACGTAGTGCTCGGCAATTTTGGACAACGTTGGTGTCAATGAAATAGGTCTCAAATCTTTCGCGGCATCCTCAACTATCTTTGTTTTGGGAAGAGGGGTGATGTTTGCACATTTCCAAATGTCCGGTAAAGTCCCTAGACAAATAGAGGAATTGATGATACAACGAAGGGGTTGAGCGAGCTCAGGAGCGAAGTCACGCAAGACCCAGTTTGGGATATTATCTGGGCCCCCAGCTTTGGAGGAGATAACCGTACTAAGGCATTTGAAGGTAGCTTCCAGTGAAATAATGGGATTTTTAAAACCCTCAGTGCTCACAGTTTCGATATTATCTAAAAGTGGGTCAAACGAAGCTTGAGGTTCAAGCAGAGCTGTATTGATTTCATTAGCCAAGATCTTAAGGTTGATTGAGGTAGCTGGTTTACTTGCTAGGAGCTGATTTGCGACACTTGTAGATGTTTTGTTCATTCCACATAACCGCCTACATTCGGACCACCACATTTTGGGATTGTTTTCGGTCAAAACGCTGACTTTCGTGTTGTAAGAAGAGCGTTTGCAGAGCTTCCGTTCCCTGTTTACTTTGTTCCGGTAGTAGTGGAACAATGGTTTGTTGTCTTGGTAATATGCTCTTTGACGGTGTGCTATAAGTGCCTTGAGTTTGGGTGAAATCCATGGCGCGTCGTTTCGGTGGAACTTAACTCACTTTTTGGGAAGGATAGAATCTAACCCTATGTGAATTAGGTGACTGAAGTGAGCATAGTGTTCTTGGACGCTATCTATAAGTGTCGAATAATGACCGGTCGAACCTCGTCATATAACTACCAAAAGCCTGTTTGGACTCGACGTTCACAGCACGTGTAGTAACCGCTCTGTTTGCAGGAATATTGGCCTTCGATCTAATGTTGAATACGCGCCCTCTATCTTTTGGCAGTCTTCTAGTTTACTACTCATTAATGTTAAACGCTTTATGTTTCACTGGTTTTTTCACATTTTCTCCATATCAGGCTGGTTTTGCTGTCAAAACACTCTTCTTTATAAATTAACCCAGTTACCGTCCATCATAATCAAGGGTTCTCTGTAAGTAACTTGACAAACTTCTGTTAAGCTCAACCTGTAGCCTGGTATCGATATCCACATGTTGAAGCTTGAGATGAGCGAGTAGACTTACCTTCTTTCCTTTCGATTTCTTTTTACAATTTCGATGTTTCTGCGTTCAAAAATAAGACGCAGTTCTTTTCCTTTTAAAAGTTTATTTCAATGAGGCAGAATTTACGCAATCGGCCTTTCTTCTACTAACCTCCGCAACAAATAAATTAATCCTTTGAATTTCGCTGACGCAGTGCAATTACCAATGAACTTGAAACTGGTAAAGCGTAAATTGCATCTCTCATAAGGCAAGCTTTGCAAGTTTTTAAAACATGGGGAAAAGCAGGAAAAGGTTACAAACAAAAGAAAAGGCAGACGAATTCTTAACCTCTGATCGTACAAAACTTTATTTAGCAATAATTCTTATAAAATCCTCTACAGTACAAAATGTTGACAGCGTAAAAACGACCCAAATAACTCACTTTGCACTCACATTTACTCTTTTTTAATATCAAAATGTCTGGAAAACAATAAATAACGGGGTCTTCTTATAAATAACAGTACAGCGGTCTTATTAAGACTGCGGCAAGCATATTAGCGCGCCGTCACAAACCCAAGTCACCAGGCTTCCTCTTCGCCAACTCAAACCAGCAGAGAAGAGGGAGGCCTGGTACTCGGGTTACGCTGGTTTGGAGTAAGCATCTATATGCCACTGACTTGAGATGTAATTAACGCGTTTTAAACTGCTCACTTTTCTGTGGTCGAAATAATGAACAAATGAAGCCAGCATCATGTTCCTGTACCCAACAGTTACAAGCTAATAAACCCGCATACCACCTATGCCACAGCCGGGAAACTCTGTCGGTCGCACACCCCGTTCAGTTTTGAAACACAGGAACACTTTGGAGAAAACTGGAAACCCATCAGGAAGCACTGGGACACCAACTATTTTATGTGGTAATTTCAAACGTGTACACCCTTCCCCACCTATCACTTAGTCAACAACCATGCGCATCATCCAGAAAAAATAAGAGAAAAAAAAGGATTTCCGATCGTTTCCTAACACCCTTATATGGAACTTCGGCGCATGAAACATACCAAATGTAAAAAATTCTCGCAAGTGATGATCAACTCCAGAATCAAACTCGCTACCTAGCAGAGAAATAAGATCTTATCCTTTGACTAGTTCCGCCCTTTTCTATCTGATCATGACATTGAATTTCTCAATATGAGTAAAACTAAGTCACTGAGATAAAGATGAACTTTACCACTGTGAAACAATAAAGTAGGTACTCGGAAGAGTTCACAGACGCCTTCGAAAATCTCTATATTCAGATAAACGGAACGGGAAGGTGTTAATAAATAACAGGAAGGAAATGAAATCGTTTAAATAGAGGAAAACGTCGAAGTAGATCTTAAACAGCCACGTCCCGATGTTTGGATCTTTTTTTGGGACTTGCAGAACTGCCTTCAACTTGAAACAAACAACAAAATATCAATTCGGTAAGATAGGAAAACAAAAAAAAAAAGAAGATGATTGCAGCTTATATGAGCTTAAAAAAGTTTACGATAGAGAAGATTACAACCGATTAAAAAGACGAATTTGAAAAAAAGATGAAGTTTGCAAGATACACAAACCGTGACGCAGTTGCTTTTAAGTAAACATTTAACCTCTGAACACTTTTCCAACGAAAAGATTCCATAGGAACAGAGCATTAAGTTAAATCAAAGCTTTTTCCAAATCGTTGCAAAGGAGACTCTTACAGAAAGGCGTCCAATCATTCTGATGTAGAGGACCAAGTAGATGCCGTACTAGTGGGGTTCCAGATACCGCCACCAAAGGAACCCA